CCCTGCTGTAATGCTTACCCACTGGAATGAAGTCCCATCTTGGATCCAGATAGTTCCCATCCTGATATTGTGAAAGGCCTTAAACACCTGGCTGTTTTTCTAGCTTTTGGGGTAGAGTGATGGAATCCTATGTTGAATGTGCTTAACATATGCTTCCATACATTGTCAGCCCATTACAAATATTTAGTTGGTGGTCTGGCTTTATCTTTTTTATTTATTCCATTAGCCCCCCCCCCCCCCGGGTTTTCTTTATGTTGTGAGCTATTCAGAGTCAATCTGGAATTGGGTGCAATCAAAATTGAATAACAAATGAATAAAACAATTAATAATGTTGTTGTTAATTGCATGGATTTGATATCATGATGAAAATAAACAAGTTTATATCTAAAAAAAGAGAGATGGCTTAACAACTGGAATTCAATTTATTCTGAAAGAGGTGATACTGCCTCTAACTCATCATTAGGAAGACCTCTTGATCCCAACCTAACCCTGCACTCACAACTGCTTAAGTGGGAAAGAGAGAATTCGTGCCACCTTTTGCCATTCCTAAATCAGTCTGATATGATGGCAGTTATCCAGGCATGATCATAGGCTAGCCCTAAGGAATAACTGGAATTTTGCATAAATACAAAATGTGGCAGTTAATATGTCAACTTGGGCATAATATAGCAAGCTCCAAAATCTTCACTAATTGTCATTTATTTTCCAATTTCATTTCAAATGTTGCTTGTAATTATTAACACTCTAAATAGCTTAAGCTGCTCCCAAATTGTCTTGATCTGGCTGAGGACTCCAAGGAAGCCAATTATGGAGTATATTGATGCAGGCTTTCACAGCAAGCATCAATGCAGTGTTGATGAGCTTCCAGGCTAATAGGCCATAGTCTAATTATCTGGTATCCTGATGTTTCACCAGCAAGCATGGCTGGCATCTTCAGAAGTAAAAGTGATCTGCTCTATAATGTACTTTCTTGGAAGCTTACAGGAAATTGAGCAGGAACTGCCTGAGCTGTTGAGTTTGTAACATAACTAATCTCTAATTGGATCATATGTTGGAATTTTGAAAATCCAGTTTCTGATTGGTTCCTTGCCTCAAGACAATTTGGTAACTGGCCTACTTGTGACCAGTTCCAAAGGAGCTAATATATGATTGGCTGTCCTTGAAACATACTACTGCTGCTTTTAATTTAGTTGAGACTACTGTAGATTCCAAATGGAATCTATTAATTGAAAAAATAATAAAAATATTTTTTTTATAAAATATAGATATAAAATATATCAATAAGGAGCCTTGTTTAACAGGCATATATACTGCAAAGTTGTAAAATTAGGCTACTATAACATTTCAGCAAAAATAACCAGACTGAGGTTGAAATTAGAGCTTAGAAGTTTTTAGCTCAGGGGTGTCAAACTGGGCTGGATGCATCAGGTGTAGGCCATGCCCACCGCAGCTCCACAAAGGCAAAAAAACCATTGTGATAGGTCATGTGATGTCACATGATGCAATTGAGTTTGACACCTTTGCTTTAGCTTTTGCCTCAAAGTATCCGATAAGTAATTTAATAATAAGCAGCAGGTTGCTTCTTGGAGTCCTTTGCTAATTACAGTAAAGTAGAAAAAACAATAACTTCCACTGAAAGTAATATTCTGGTGTAACACTAAAGGCAATATTAGCCTTTCTATTTCTATCCGGTTCACTGTATTTCTGACACAGTGATGCTGTGGACATTCTATCCCGATATCTAGGGTGGGCTGGGGGTGAAACAGGCTTTGACTCAACCTAACCAAGACAGAGTGACTGGGAGTCTCTGGAAAAAAGGTTCTTCCATCTTTAGTTTGGGGGATGGGTTGTGAAGAGGAGATGGTAGCTGTGGCTAGGAGGGCCTATGTACACTTTTACAATACAATAGCAGAGTTGGAAGGGACCTTGGAGGTCTTCTAGTCCAACTCCCTGCCCAGGCAGGAAACCCTATACCATTCCAGACAAATGGCTATCCAACATCTTCTTAAAGACTTCCAGTGTTGGAAGTTTTTTGAGTGGTGTGCCAGTTGCACTCATGACTGGACTGGGAGACCATGCTCACAGTAACTCATGTCCTTGTAACCTTTGGTATAGATTACAGTAACATGCTGTACATGGGGCTGCCCTTGAGGAGAATTTAGAAACTTCAACTGGTGCAAAATGCAGCTGGACAGGAAGTAAATGGAGCCAGATATATGGCACTTGTAATACCACTTCTGCCTGAGCTGCATTAGTTTCCAGTATATATCTGGGTGCAATTTAAGGTGCTGGTTGTAACCTTTAAAACCCTATTTGGTTTGGGACCAGGTTACCTGAGGGACTGCCTTTTTTCCAAGTTTTCTAGTCATCCAACTAGATTAAATAGAATGGGCACGTTGCAGACATCCAAAGAATGTCAGTGGATGGGGACCAGAAGACAAGTTTTTCCCCCCCCGGCAGTGGCCCCTCAAGAGTATCATCCCTTTGGAGATTAGAATGCTCACAACACTGTTTGCCTTTCGCAAGGCCCTAAAAATCTGGCTATGTTCCTGAGTCTGGGGTGCTGAATGTGTTAAGGGCCCCTTTTCCTGTATGGCCATATATCTCAGCAGCTACAGGTATGTTTATTTTGGATGCTTTTATTGTTTTTTTATTGTTTAAAAATGTTCAGTGTCTTAATTGTAATATTTTTTTGAACTGCAAGTCTCACAGTCATTGACAGAGATGGGTGGCTATAGAAATTGAAGTAAGTAAGTAAGTAAGTAAGTAAGTAAGTAAGTAAGTAAGTAAGTAAGTAAATAAATAAATAAATAAATAAATAAATTTCACCTTTATATTTGTCTTGAAAATAGCAGTTTTGGGGGTTTCTTGTAGCGATAATCCAGAAATCCATTGGACAACAGTTAGATACCCCCATACAATAAATATTTGTACATTTTTGCCCATTTTGAGTTGTCAGGATGGTACCTTCCTAAAACATTTAAATAAAAATTCCTGGGGGTTGTGGAAATCTTCAGACAAACTTTAAATGATATACTTGAAAAGGTGTCACCCCTTAATTTAATATAGATAAAAATGGAACTAGGGGAAAAAAAGGCTTTTTCCAGATTATACTCTTTTAAATTCAATATGTTATTGCTAATTTGGTTGAATAAACTTTTATTTTATTATATTGTCAAACTGTTGTGTTTGTCAAGAAAGTGAATCACTTTGAAGAACTTCCTAAAATCAGCATATAAAGAAAAGTAGGTGGATCAGTGAGACAGAATAAGCAGAAAGATGCTTAGAAGTACAGTAAATGGAACCACATGACTTGTGTGCGGAATTTCCTCCATCTCTGAGGCAAGGGGAATATTAGGGTCTTTTTTGGAGTGGGGTGAGGTAAACATGTGCTATGTCAAGAGCAAGTACTTCAAGACTGCAAAGGTTGCCTGGCTATTAACTGGTAGCAATGAGATACACTCATTTTGCTATCTCTGTCACATATTTGGCTATTTATAGCCCAGATATGATACCTTAGCTATAATTCTTATTCCAAGGATTTGGGGTGGAGAGTCTTCAAATAAATTTTTACGTTGGCAACTGCCAGGTCCCTGAAGTTTTCTTAGCAAAGCTTTCTGGAAGTGTTTGGCCTCTGCCTCCATCCCAGAACTGACTGAGAGTGACTATCCCAAAGTTACCCAGCTGGCCTTGCGTCTAAGGTGACACTATAATTCATGGTCTCCCAGTTTCTCGCCTGATGCCTTAACTCCTATATCAAACTGACTTTCTATTCTAGGAATTAGAGAACCATTTATTTTATAATTGTTTTCCACACAAAACCACAGCATTCCTAAAATTCAGCAGTCCAGTTGGAGAGGTAGCAGGTGCCTTTGAAAACAGGCCATAGGCTCAAGGCTGGACATTGTCTGCTTCATTCAAACTGAATGCAAAGACACCCACAGAAGAGATAGAGAGGGAGGAAGGATGAAATGCCTGTTGTGATGTAAACTCTCTTCCTTATGATGTACTTGTATACAGTGTCCCTTCACAAATATTTAAAGGGCAGAACCTGTACTGGTACATTACAAGTCACTATTGCCATTTTGGGATCATTGTGGCTGGTTGCAGATGTCTATGATTATAAGTGCAATTTGTCTATCACTGTGATGGTGAACCTATGGCACGCGTGCTGGAAATGGCACATAGAGCCATCTCTCCACGCTAGCAGTCACCCGTTGCTCTTCCAGGTTCCGCTGCACCGGCCACCTAGTCTTCCTGCATGCCAGAAACTGGAAGACTAGATGTCCGGTGCACACATGTGTGCCAGAAACCAGAAGAGCAGCTACCCGGAGCGCGCATACGCACTGGGCGGCTGCTCTTCCAGTTTTCGGCACAAGTGCATCTGTGCGCTCCCATTTCAGCACTTGGTGTTGAAAAGGTTCTCCAACATTGATCTATCAGAATAGTCTTCTCTGATTAAAATGGCCCTAGAAATGTCTTTTGAACAAGGGACATCCTTCATTACAAAACATGTACTTTACCAGGAAGCAATCTCTGGTAAAACATGTATGTTACCTGAAAGCAAGCAAAAATACAGCTTCCAAGCAGCTGAACAACTAAGTCCACTGTGCCCATTTAGAACTTGTTAGTGACTTTTGAAGAATCTTAAGATTTCTTAATATTTGTCTTCTAGAGCCGATACTACTTCTATATTGTTTTGAGACTCTGGAGTGTTTTCAAGCTTATCATTTTGTGTTTGCTGAGGTCCTTGACTTTAATCCAAGGTTGAAAAGCCATTCCTCTTGAAATATTATTAGGACAGTAATGTTTGCATGAAGTCCTACTTTACTTCAAATATTTAAAAATTCTTCTACTGTAGAAGACAAATTTAACTGCAGAATGACTAGGGAATATTTATTTTAGTCTGATATGAAAAGTGCTTTTTACAATTCTACAGCAATCTCCAGTTTTCTTAGAAAATACAGGGGAAGACAGAGAGAGATGCAAGGAGACCTTACCTAGAGTCTGACCGGCGAGTACTCTCCCATTCTCCCCTAGGACAGCAGCCCGTGCATGCCTTTCATTTGAATATTGTACAAATGCATAGCCTTTGTGCACAGAGCAGCCCACCACTCTGCCATATTTAGAGAAGATGGTTTCTACATCTGACTTCTTGACCACTGCTGTGTTGAGGTTCCCAATGAAGACCCTGGAGTTGATGGACTTGGGATCATTCTTGTTTGTGATGTTACTTGTCTGTACTTTCAATGACATCTTGACACCTGAGTAAGCAAGATAACAACCTATGATAAGGTCCATCAATGGAGGCAATGGTGTACATATGAGCTTATTGAAAGATCACCCATCAAAAACGTGCAGAACACTAGGTGAATTTGAAACAAGGTGCAGAGTTTCATACATTGGTATAGTTTAAACAGTGTAAATCCTGAAACAATTTAAAACAACCTCACTTGGACTCCTGCAAAGGAGTGTATAATAGTGGATCACATACTTCTATGCAATGGAAATGGTTTTGCCTGTATTTATGGTCCTCTAAGGCTGTGTCCCACATCTGTTTATGGCACAAATATGTGCCAGCAGCATATATTTTTTCTGCAGTTTCCCCAGGCCATTGTTTTCATCTCATCCCGAGCCCATTAGCAACAGAGGTGTAAGTTGTCCTTAGTTGTACTGTTGTGGAAGTTTTGTTTTCCTGTAATACTGATGGCATCCTATGACAGTCACAAATCCATTACACTGGAAGTCAGGCAATTTCAGGTGACAAGTAGTGGCATTGCGGAGACCCTTAGTGCCCATTTAAGGCTGGTGTGAGGATCCACCCTCTGCATGGTTTTTTGACAGTCTTATCTATTGCCTTTCTGCTGATGTTTCTCTAAAAATTTAAACACAGCAACCCTGTACCAGTGTTACATGGTTTTGCATAACAATGCTAGTGGTATAGCGTATTAATTCACATTAGGTTCCTAGTTACAGAGATATCTTTTCCCCTTGTGCCATCACTCTGCTGAACCCTCTAATTCCCACAGTACTGTCTTATGCCTAGCATATTTACACATGCAGTATGACTCTAGTACTATTGCCCCTCCTCCTACTGGTATTATTATTAGGATTATTATTACTCTTGTTTTATATGTGCACTGAAAGCTTCTACGTCGGAGACAAATTCCTTGTGTGTCTAATCACACTTGGCCATATAAAATAAAGTATTCTCTGCTTCCCCTGCTCTAGTTAAATGCAAATAGCTCTCTATCACAAGCAGTAGAATATGAAACATCCTGTTCAGAATAATAGAAATAGCTTGTGCTTGGTAAATTTTAAATTGTCTATTTGAATTGCATAATAGTACAAACCTGTTAGTTAGCAGTGCTACAAATGCTTCCACTTTGGGTTTCTTGTTAGCTAAGTGCAAGGCTGAATTAGTAAAGTAATGAAATGACAGGACCATTTCCCATTGAAATCTGAACAAAACAGAGAAGAATCTGAAAGTTGGCATTTGTTTCTTATATAAATAAATGAGAGAAATTCTAAATAAGTGGGCTGTTTGGGACTCAAAGCCTCTTATCACCATAAAGTATAAAAACATAAAGTGTTTTTTTCCCCCTATTTATTTTATTTTAAAATAGTTATACAACTAGAATAACAATGCTGATGATCCTCAAAACTGTAAAAATAATGACGCCGCAAACCATTGGAATAAAACTCAATAAAAATTCTATGGAAAACTCTATAAAAACTCCTTGCATTTCAGGATGGCACTTGTCTATTCATCAGAGACCATTTTACTGCTTGATTTATGGTAGCATGACATGTGGGAAAAAGCAAGGCAGGGCCTTAAAGGAAGGGGCTTAAAGATGATGTACAGTCTAATTCACCCCATTCCTGTAATAATGTGTTGATTAGCAACTTTGCCTCCATTGGTTTTTTATGTTCAGAAGAGGACAATGGGGTGGAGTATTCAACCAGTTTCTTTGCCTATCACACTATATAGGCATAATTCATATGGCAGATTTGGTAATGACTTAGAGGCAGGAGTGGCAATGGAAGCAGAAAACTGCATGCTGGTATATTTTCTGTTGACTTCAGCAATCCAACTTTCAAAGGTGGGATAGGAAAAAAATGACCAAAAGTTTAATAACAGAATAACAGAGTTGGAAGGGACCTTGGAGGTCTTCTAGTCCAACCCCCTGCTTAGGCAGGAAACCCTACACCACTTCAGATAAATGGTTATCCAATATCTTCTTAAAACTTGGAGCATTCACAACTTCTGGAGGCAAGTTGTTCTACTGATTAATTGTTCTAACTGGCAATTTCTCCTTAGTTCTAGGTTGCTTCTCTCCTTGATTAGTTTCCACCCTTTGCTTCTTGTCCTGGCCTCAGGTGCTTTGGAGAATAGCTTGACTCTCTCTTCTCTGTGGCAGCCCCTGAGATATTGGAATACTGCTATTATATCGCCCCTAGGCCTTCTTTTCATTAAACTAGACATACTCAATTCTTGCAGCCGTTCTTCATATGTTTTAGCTTCCAGTCCCCTAATCATCTTTGTTGCACTTCTCTGCACTCTTTCTAGAGTCTCCACATCTTTTTTTACATTGTGGTGACCAAAACTGCATGCAGTATTCCAAGTGTGGCCTTACCAAGGCATTATAGTGTTAATACCAACGCTTCATGTGATCTTGATTCTATCTCTCTGTTTATGCAGCCTAGAATTGTGTTGGCTTATTGGCAGCTGCTGCACACTGTTGGCTCATTTTTAAATGGTTGTGCACTAGGACTCCAAGATCCCTCTCACAGTTACTACTATTGAGCAAGCTACCACCTATACTGTACCTGTGCATTTTGTTTTTCTTGCCTAAATGTAGAACCTTATTCTTTTCACCATTGAATTTCATTTTATTAGATAGTGCCCAATGTTCAAGTTTGTCAAGACCCTTCTGTATCTTGAGCCTATCTTCTGGAGTGTTGGCTATTCCTGCCAGCTTGGTGTCATCTGAAAATTTGATGAGTTCCCCATTTATTCCCTCATCCAAATCATTGATGAAGATGTTGAAGAGTACTGGGCCTAAAACAGTAGTTACTTGGGATACTCCACTGCGTACTTCCCTCCATGAAGATGCAGTTCCATTGAGGACTACATGTTGAGTGCGGTTGGTCATCCAGTTACGAATCTATCTGGTGGTGATGCTGTCTAACCCACATTTTTCTATTTTATCTAGTAGTAGGTTATGGTCTACTTTATCAAATGCCTTACCTTTATTAAAGTTTGTTTCTTGTAGCATTGAGGAAGAAAGTGTTTAACTATTTCAGTTTCTGTTTGTCTAAATATAGCCAGTTCCAAGACACATGTTCTGTAGGCTAAGGACCAAGGAGGTCTTCATCCCACCTCCATCTATATTCATTAACACATTAAGAAGGCAGCATCTTCTTACTGCTCTTCATTGCACCCTGTTCAAATCCTGTCCTTCCTGGGCATTTGCCATATTTGTTCAAGCAATTCTGCTCTCTCTAGCAAGTCACCTGCCTACGATTTTGATTACAAATCACCTTAAAGAGGAGGGCTGAACACTGTTTTAATATACAGAGCAGTGCTAGCCTTGGAATATCACCGAACAAATCAGATTCACCTTTCCCATTGTTCTCATGCCTTATGAATGATTCATGCCCCAGAGCAATCCAGATGGATTTGCACTCTGAGGATGCAATCTGAACAGAATATAGAGCCACTCTTCATATTTCACTCCTCGTGATGCAGCAACGGTATAATCAGTATGAGTGTCTCAGGTCCCTGTTAGTAATTCTAAAAATCAAGACTCATGAAACAAGAACCTGAATACTCATTTGTTCCAGAGGGCCCATTAGTCATTCTGGTTGGAACCCTTTATTCATTAGTAAGAGGGACTGGGCATGTATGTACGTAAGTACTGATGATGTATGGTAGATGTTTGCGATGGAATAGTAATATTAACAGCCTCATATTAAAATGACCTCAAGGAAGACTAGTTGTGAAAGTAGCTATATGGAATCAGGCTAGAATATTTACATTAACTTTATTTAATATACTTTAGTGGGAATCTTGTTTTTGCTTGTGTATATAATGGGGTGGGGACGTGATGGTTCACTGGCCAATATGCTGAGCTTGTTGATCAGAAAGGTCAGCAGTTCAGCAGTTTGAATCCCTAGTGCCGTGTAATGGAGTGAGCTCCCGTTACTTGTCCCAGCTTCTGCCAACCTAGTGGTTTGAAAGCATGTAAAAAAATGCAAAAAAATAGAAAAATAGGAACCATCTTTGGTGGAAAGGCAACAGCGTTCTGTGTGCCTTTGGCATTTATTCATGCCATCCACATGACCTTGGAGACATCTTCTGACAGTGCTGGCTCTTCGGCTTTGAAACGGAGATTTGTACCACCCCAAAAATTGGGAACGACTAGCACATATCTGTGAAAGGAACCCTTACCTTTATAATGGGGTATGAGGATTTAGAAAGATTGTCCCCTCTGCTAAAGGTTGTTTGTTTGCAATCATCCCCCCACCAAATTTACTCATTTTGCACCCATCTGACACCTGAAGCTTTTTGCAACATATCTTTAAAAAATATTCTAAATTGTTGATCTGATTTAGCTCCTTTCAGGAAACAAAGAATTAGACTCTCTTCTCTCTCCATATTGGGAGCACAGTGGCTTGCATGGTTAGGATGCTGGGTTGGAAGTCACAAGATTGTATTCAAGACTTGAGTGCTGCCATGGGGGTGGGTTGGAGCTCCTGTCCTTCTCTGACATGAGTGCAATGCAATCTCCATATTTGGATTCAAACTGGTATCCTAAATTTATTGCAGGATAAGAAAGGCACAAACATGTTACCAGCAGCTCCAACTTTAAAGCTATGCAATTCCAACCTTTCTAAGTCTGGCTGGACTCTTGATAATTACATAATTTTATTGGTGACAGTATGAAAGGATTTGGTGTTTCTTATTTCTAGGATATTTTCCAATTTCCCCAGGAATTTCCTGGTGGATCCACACTGAGGTTTTATTCAGACCTGATCCTTCTTTTCTGAGACCAAGAAAAATGATCTGCAGTGAATTTAGCTGCAGAATCCCCTCTAGCTGATAACATGGCAGCTATTCCTTTTCACAAAGTAAAACAAGACAAAAATCTTAATGTATTTTTACCTATCAAACTAAGTGACTATAGTGCTTTCCAGCAGAAGATACCTTGGGTCACTGGAGAAATTCACATTTTTAAACTACTAGTTCTCTGGCCGTGGCTTGGTGGGTGTGGCAGGGGAAGGATACTGCAAAATCTGCATTCCCACCCCACTCTGGGCCAGCCAGAGGTGATATTTGCTGACCCCCCGAACTACTCAAAATTCCCATTACTGGTTCTCCAGAATGTGTTCAGAACCTGCTGAATTTCACCCCTGCCTTGGGTTACCTGCTTGCAATGCAACAACTGAAAATTGGAAGAAATGAAACAGCAATTCAGATTTGGCACTATAAACTTGACTTGATATACAAAATTCAAAGGAAGCCAGATTCTTAAGAGGAGTGCCCAAGCCATCTGCCTCCATACATTTCAGAAGTACATAATCTGTTAGGTTCCATAAACATAACTTCTTGCCATTGGCTATGCTAGATATGGTTAGAATCATATAATCATATGGCTGGAAGGGACCTTGGAGGTCCTCTAACCAACCTATCTACCCATGGTAGAAGATGTTACATGATAAATGGTTGCCTCAACCTTTCTTGAAAACTTCCAGCAGAGAGATATCACGTCTCTCTTACCATATTTTTGGGAGTATAAGATCCACTTTTTCTTTCCCCAAAAGTGGATGGAAATGTATGTGTATCTTATACAATGAATATTGTGGTGGGGGAGTGGGTTGGTGTGGTGCCGATCAGCTGTTCTAGAACAGGCCATGGCAGCGGTGAACAGGCTGCAGCAGTGGCAGTGTATGGCCCTGGCAAACAGGCAGTGGCGAATGGGTGGCAGTGGCGAATTGGTGGCAGTGGTGAATGGGTGGCAGTGAATGGGTGTCAGTGAACAGGCTGCAGTGAATGGGCAGTGGCAAATGGGCTATGGCAAATGACCCACAATGACAAATTGGTCAAATGAATACTGGGTGGATGCTGGGAGGCAGAGGCAGATTTTGTTTTCTTGTTTTCCTCCCCAAAAGCTATGTGTGTCTTATAGTCCGGAACATCTTATTGTTGGAAAATATGGTAATTCTTCTTTATTAGGCTAGACATAGGTGGTTCCCTTAACCATTCCTCGTTTGTTTTATACTGCAGATTCCTTATTATCTTAGTTACTCTTCTGTGCACTCTTTCTAGGGTCTCAGCATATTTTTTGTATCATGGTGACCAGGGTTAATGTAAGGGTTAATTTTTTTTAATGTAGTGACCAGGATTAATGGGGTTTGAAATCCCTCCAAAATCTGGAGGGTAAAAAGTTGCTTGTCC